CTCTACATGAGGTAGAGCTAAATAGAGAAAGCGTCCGATAGGCGTTACAGATAGAAGACAATGGTCTTGAACTATCTGTAATGTAGGCATAGGCCTAAAAACTATCATATCACAGAAGAAGAAGAAAAGTATTATTTCCCATCGCCAAGAACTTACTATTCGAAGGAGAGTCATTACAGGCAAGGTACTATAGTTGACAAGTGGCCTGCTCTACCAAAGAGGAGACAAAAGCTGCAAACTAAAGAAGACTTCAAAGGTGTACTGGGAAAACTAAAGAGTAACTGTTCAATCAAGTATATTGAAATACTGTCTGTCAAAGTCTGCCTCTTCTATTGTGGAATCAGGCAGTCTTTAAATACACAAATCTGCTCATATCTAGCATGAACAAAACTACTCAATAGTATCAAGCAATATACTTTGGTAAAACCACTTAAGTATCAAAACGATACTTAAAATAAAACATAAAACAAAACCAAGTATCAAATGATACTTAAAACAAAACATAAAACAAAATCCTTAACTGAGTACCAGTACCAGTTCCAGTGTCAATAATGGGCAGACAACAATTTCTGATGCAAATTCTTATAGATATAATTCTTCACATTGATTCCAAGATTCCTAGCCTAGGCTAAAGGTATTGGATACATGTAACAAATGTGTATTTCCTCACATACTATCAGAAGTGAGAATATTCCCTACTAGCTGTCCGAGGATGCAGGGTCTACAAGAGTACTGTGGGTACCGTTGCAATACAAACTACCCTTGCTCCCAACTTCCAAATGCATGGGATGCAGGGCACACATGGGGCGGACACTTTCCATCTGAATGCAGACACCTTTCGTCCGACATAAATGTTGTTTTTGCGGATGAGGTCTAATAATGGAAGTCATGTTCTAATAATATAATATTATTTACTTTTCTCCCTGTTTGCTCCTTTACTCACTCATTCATCATTGCAAATACACATACAATATAAAGGCGTCGAGCAAGTTCACTTCTGGTCCCTAATAACCTAGGGTGGTATCTTCTACCGAGTTATCATACTGCGTGAGAAAAGATTAGGTCCGCACCCCCTTCCTTTCATCCGCAGATATAACCCAAGCAAAAGCAGACCACATTCTCCAATAGATTCTACCGCGTCCGAAGCAATCGAGACACCAAAAATACTGAGAGCAAACCCCGCGATGCCAAGTCATACCTACTGGACATGTGCATGTTTTGCTCTTAGACACCAGTACCGCAGGGAATGATCACCGAAATTCCTCCCTTCCGGGAGCAAAAAAAAACCGCACAATCTCGCGCGACATCCCGCAGAAGCCCAGCAACGAAGATTTCCAAGGATATTCCCTCCCAGTCAACAGGATAGCCCCAGCGTTATCCTCCAGCACACCCATTCCTCGGTTGTTTAATACTCGTATCATCGCCATAAACATTCACCCGTGTGTCGGGTGTGCCCAGAAGTGTGCGGAAGTCTAGATGCGCTGGAGTAGTAGATGCATTTGAATATATCACACGTAGCCGTTCTATCCTCTCCCCCATCTGTAGAGGGTAGGTATATCAAGAGTGTTGTCGACTATCACCAACTATATCCCCCGGCTGTTTGCGGGGGCTCACGGATTCGTATGGTTCGAGCCGGTCGTCGAGCCCGGGCGCAAATGGTCGCAGGTTTTGGGTCAAGATCGGTGAGCTTCACAAGCGGCCTATATGCTCCCGACCGGCCCCGCATAATACTTTGACATCTGATCCCCCTAAAGCCTTGGGTGGTGCCAGTACGGGAAGGAGATCGATGTGACAAAGTACCGTAGGCAACAAGCTAAAATCGACGTCCCTCAGAGTGTTTCAAACCCTGTTTCTCTGTTCTTGACTCTAGAGAGTGGGGACAACTTTTAGGCACACTCTTGAAACGTTGTACCGGTATATGGTTTCTCAAAAAAAGGGGAAAAACTATACCGCACATATCCGGAGCGATGAACGCTTAGAGTAGGTACTGTACCGGTAGTAGTAGATAGTGTCGGCCTCAATGCATCCCTCCTATACAAACTCTTGAGATACCTTTCCTTACCGCTCTGTGAAAGTTACAGAAGAAAAAACTCCATGCATCTTCTGTCAAACCCCCAACTCCCTAAAGAGCATTTCCGAAGTCTTTTTTCTTTTCTTCCCCGGTCAGATCTGCTGAAGCGCCGGAGCGCACTAAAATAATGGCACCTCGAAACCCCCCAACTTTTGCCAAAAGCCAAAGCCAAGTGACAAACCATGATTCTTAGCCCCACGAGGTCACCTTAAATTTAGCTCTTTTCCCCAGTGCAAGAAACGGCCCGACGCGGACGGGACAACCCTAACCTAAAAAGTTTGCTCTTGCCCTCCGTGCCCAAACTTCCACTTTATGCGCGCGCCGCACAGCACCATGTCCGACGACGACGGCAACGATAATCGCCAACGACAGGCGGACGAATTGGCGCTCATCTCGAGTATGTTCCCCTCGGAGTTCCATCTGGAGGGTGTGTCGGGTGTGGAGCCAGTACGTAGGGTTCCGGAGGGCCACAACACAAAGTGGAGGCGATCATATAAAGCTACCGTGAGCGCAGCCAGAAAAAAATCCGCAATTCTATATTGAAATTCCCGACGGTATAATTGGTCCATGGAATTGAAGTCACGAATTACATACTAAAATACCAATTCCACGAGCAAGCCTCCTGTGCCCTTCATTTCACGCTCCCAGCAACGTACCCGTCCACCTCCCCACCAGAAGTATTCCTCCAATGCGACGAGAAAATACCCAACGCCGCAAGGAGCGAGCTAAGGCGGAAAGTGAACCAAGCGGTCAGCTGCCTCCCGCCGGGTACTCTACTCCTCCTCTTCCTCCAACCTTTCCATTACCGATAGATTACAGCGGAGCCAACATGTTTTCTTCTAGGGCAGGAATGCATAGACATACTCTTGACAGAGGTCATGGAAATCTTGACCCCCCTTTCTAGCAGAGAAAGCATTGTCACGGAAGATGACGACATCCAGGACGTAAGTAACACTCCTCCGGTGGTTGTCCATGCATTACTTTGGTTCCACCACCTACTCTCCACACAAAAGCGGAAGAACATTGTAGCTTGGGCCAGGCCATTACGACTATCGGGGTACTCAAGGCCCGGATACCCCGGGGCACTATTTATCGAGGGGGAGAAGGAAAGTGTGGGAGAGTACATTTCCCAACTTAAGGTCCTCCCCCGTCCCGCCCACTCGACTAATCACAACATTAAGCTGACCCCCTAACCGAATCAAAGGGATTAAAATGGCAAGCGATTCAAGTCCGAGACGAGTACCCCGCTCCTTCGGGACAGCGAGTGTTACTGCCCGACGCTGGGGTAGAGGAGGTGGAAGGCCTTAGCGATATTGCGGAGAAATTGAAAAAGGTTGGAGGGAGCAGGCTGGAGGAGTGGTTTTTAGGGGGTATGAAGATCAAGTGAAATATTTTGGTAGGCGGCATGGTATTATATGAGCCTGTTATGATAATCACGTGCTATAAGTAGTGGGGCTATTATGCAGCAAAACATAACACTATGTCACTTCCTTTGGAGGAAACCAAAAGACCTTTTACTTACCCTATTTTAGATCTCAGGTCCGGGGCCCCATTGATATTGACCGGTGTTACAAAAACACCTGCAGCACCGATACCGTGCTGCAGACAGCCTCTCACACCGTCTACTCGAGCACACAGTGCCGCAAAGTGCTATCGTAGACAAACGTAAATCCAGCAGGCATTCAAACCCCGCGGCGAAAGCTTCTGCCGTCCCGCCAATCTCAACCAGCGGCACGCAGGTAATTCCAACAAGGAAAATAGCCACAAAGAGAGCCCAAAACAAGGAAGCAGAACCCCCGACACCCCCGATAGCCAACCGCTCTCCTCGGCCTGATGGGATCCTACGCTCACGCCTCCTCCCCGTAGTCTACTATACTATACCGCAATCCTACCAGCGAGCAGCTCCAATACATGATAGTCTAAACCTCATCCTCCCATGACAAAGGCTCCCCATCCTTCCTTCCACCCAAAGCCTCTTCTTATACACGCCCGGCTCAACTATCCCCATCCCGGAGAGGTGGGTTCAAAGGATTACTCGGGCATGGTCATAAAGAGCGGGAAACGTGTGGTGGCAAAACAGGGACTATGCTGATCGATCCATACAAACTGTGGAAAGAAATGGCTTTGTAAAGGTTGGATGATCCAGACCAGTTGCATTGCCGCTTACTTTTCCCCAGGAGCAGGAATTAGAGATTCTAAAGGGCTACTCAGAGTCTCAAGCAATCCCTATGGGACCTGGTCTGTATCGTACTGAACCCAATTTGATGATTCTTACCTCACACTACCCCCCCCCTCCAGTTTGTAATGTACAGTAATCTACCTGGTATCCACTCCAGGTTGCTCATGTCAACCAGGCCTTGTGCTTTTCCACTAATATGTACCGACCAACTGCCAATTACGGTACCATAGGATCCTGCCAATCTATTTTTCCGCCCTTTATAACCATGCGCGAGTACCGGTGCGGTGCATTCGCCCCCCCCCGGAAAAATTTGTCAATCCTGGGTCTAACCTATAGTAAACCTGATTTAACCATCTTTCAATTTCTTACTCGTCAAGCATAATACCGGCATGTCCAACCATGGCCGAGCAACCAATTCAAATACAGGCATCTGCACACCCTAGCCCGAATATGGGTGTCACTGGAAGCTGCTAGCACGGGGTGATTAATCCAGAGCGCGGACGTCGGAGGACGAGGGGGAACAAGTCAGCACATGTTAAGCTATCATAAATTAGCTTTTGGCCCGACCGGACATGCAGAGGGAGGGAGGCAAATGCGTGCCGTCATGCCATGTGCATGGAATCGTGGCTCGGAAAGGAAAGAGAGAATTTGAATTCTAACGGTTCCAGGACTCGCCACCTGCTATAGTATATTACTGTACGGGTAAATGTTTATTTCCGCTTGTTATAAGGTATCATACTGCACCATCCAAGAACCTATTGTACCCGAGTAGGCTTTGTTTGGATGCAAGGCTCCTGCTCAGTTGCCCCCACAATTACAAGATGACCGTTTCCTCTCGTTTGACGATTATCTTTAGAGCAGAAGTGGTCGCAAAAGAACGGAGCGGAACCGTTGTGTCCAAACAGAGCCATTTTAGCCATTGGTAAGTAGAGCGAGCTACAGTATTACGGAATCCTGTTGTCCCGAAGCGGGCTCTTTCAAAGATGTGCACCATTCGCCATCCCTTCCTCCCAGGAGCAAGTACTGTACAGTACATGCACGGTACTGTACCAGGACTACGGCACTCCACGACCCCCCAGTACCGACCAGTGAGTCAGTGACTGCATCCACATACCAATAGGCTCCCACCTGGCCTAGAAAAAGTTATTAATGATCAATACCAAGACTGGCTGCATGCGGCAATGTTCGTCTTCTTCAATTCTATTCAATTCCTCGGGGTTGGGGTTGGGGTAGCGTTGCGATTATAGGCAAGGTTCGTGAACTCACGACATATGCCGCTCAATGGAGGGCGCTTTTATACTCGTATGATACAGGCAACCAAATAAGACGATGTAGGTAATGGTTCATAGAGCCATCAGTGCTTTTATAATAAATACCTGCTCTCCTGCAACTATGGAGAGGCCATCCGGCTCTTTGCCCCCCAGATCACACGCAATCATATCTTTCCATTGATCAAGATATCCGAAACGGGAGCAAGCGATATGTACTTCCCAATATCAGTTCTCACCCTTCTCGCGGCCCTAACTTTGCCGTTCACAGCCCAAGGTATGCCTCCGAGAGCCAAACCCCAAGAGAGGAAACGATACGGCACTGACGACATGTAGCGAGCGACCAAACTTTCACTCGGCTCAGGAAGAACGACACCGTTTTTCTTGTTGTTGACCATCAGCTTGGTTTGTTCTCTCTTGTCCGGGACTTCGCGCCAGACCAATACAGGAACAACATCCTTGCACATGCTGCTCTCCCGAAAGTGTTCAACATTCCGACCATCTTGACTACGAGTGCCGAGACTGGGCCCAATGGACCACTTCCGCGGGAGATCGTCGAGATACATAAAGGGGCTCCCTTCATCAAGCGTAATGGTGAAGTCAATGCTTGGGATAATGCTGATTTCCGCGCTGCTGTCAAAGCTACGGGGAAGAAACAAATTGTTCTTGCTGGCATCACAACCGACGTCAGTTACCTTATCCAACCATCTCGATTTCAACCCTAAGCTCGCTGCTTACAATATCTCTCAAAATAGGTGTGCACTGCTTTCCTTGCCCTCTCTCTGAGGGCCGAGGAATATGAGGTTTTTGCCAATTCTGACGCAAGCGGAACATTCGATCAACGGCTCGCGGACGAAGCCAACGACCGTATGAGAGCTGCCGGTGTTACCACCATGGGAATGTTTGCGATTTCGATGGATCTCATGAGAGACTGGAGAAACACCCCTGGGACTTCCGAGCTTCTTCCATTCTTCGATAAGTAGGCATCCTTCTTTAATCCCGAGCTCATAGCGACAGACTTACTAATTATTCTCCATCAGATACCTCACAGCATATGCATTCTTAGCAAGGGCTCACGGAGCTGCCGTCACCAACGGGACCCTCTTGCCCTCCGAAGCAACAAGCTAAGTGCCAGGACTGGTCAGTCCTTGACATGGGAACCGTTGAAACCCATCTTTCAAAACTCCCTGTTTCTCCTCTGCTTGTCAATTTCTAGCCAAGTTCAAATCCTGTGATCAGACTATTTGTGCCTACCTTCTCGATACTCTGTAACCCCCTGCAATATATCGTAAACTCTTCTCAGAACTGAGAACGAACTGTGTGCGAAATGAAACATTAGGCCAACCACTGATTCAAATCCCGTGATACCGTACCACTTCGACAACAATTATCTGGACTTCGAGCAGCGAGAGGGCCTACCAACGATTGTGACCATTGGCAGGAGCTTTTACCCAGGGGGAAAAAGCAGAGCCCAGCACACACGAACGCCCGACTCGCCAGTCCCACTCCCCCAAAAGGATAAGATGCATCATAAACTCGGTGGGAAGTCAACACCGGTCATTCCCAATGACATCAAGCCGGCGATACTACTGGTGCACCCTGCGACGATAGAGGACACTTGTGCCAGCATTTGAAAACCAAACGATGGCCTCCAAAGAAAGTGGAAGACTAGGTGATGGTAGACTTCCCGATGGGTCGATGTCCAATGCCTCTGCCGGTACTCGTACAATTTTCAATTTTGTGTGTATTACTTGCGGTGCGCCATCTATTCGTTAGCCAAGTTATTCCTAAACGCTAGATGTCCACCTATCCAAATACCGGTAAACTGATATGCAAATAGTTGGAAACCCCGGGCGCCTTCGACCCAACGGGTTTGAGAGAGGGAGATAAGTTACCGTAGAACAGGTTGTCCGAGGTTGAATATGGTAGCTGTGAAACCTTGACCAGCTTTAGCGGTTCAATGCCAAAATACCCCGGCATTGTGTGACACAAAGAGATGCAGGTTGTCTTCGGGGTTCTCAGGTTGATTCCAAGTTAGATTTTACAGTACGGTAACCTGATTCAAATCGTGCTCAATAGGAATTTTCCCCGGCTATATTCAGCCAGCTACTGGTAATCCGCCCGCTCCCCAATTGTGGCTACTGACCCGCTTTTCACGAGCAGCAGAATACCATCCACAATGGCTGAGTCATCATTATAAATTACCCTACACTCTCACCTTCTACCCGGGAGAGAATACCCAAGTAACGTAACTCGAGTTCAGAAGTCTACGGTAATCTTGCCCCAGAGAATCTACCCCTTTGAATGAACTGCAAAGTAATACGGTGGCAGTAGAGTAACAGACGATTCATGGGCTGCTTTCGGCACAGTTCCCCACAGGGGGCACGGTACGAGTACTGTACTCGAGTACCGATAAGGGGAACCAGTGAGCCCACGAGGCTCCCGGGACATGTCTATGCTAGCCAAGCCATACGAGGGAGTCTGTCGGGTGATACATACACCAATTAATTAGAGAGAGATCTGGTTGAGCAAATAAAGAGATCTGGAAAGTATCTCTCTTTTACTGGAAATAAATGATGAGGTTTCAAACTGCTCCACCGATCTCCTGGGCACCCACACGGACGAAGGGATACTCGCTTCTGACCTCCCACTCGCCCTCCTCTCTCCCATTCGCTACAAGAAGCGAGGTCCGGTCAGTCCGTCACACACATTTTTCTTTGTTTTTCCGACTTCCTGGTTTCCTGTTCGCTTACTGAGCCAATCAGTGCTTTGCAATCGCTGTTCTACCCACTGTCAATGAAAATCCAGGTTCCACCCACTCTTTGGGGTTTGAATTGCGACGAAAGCACGGACATCATGAAGCTACCGGTACAGTAGCACGCCAACTCACTCACATTGCCGAACCCGCGAGGGCAGCAGTGGATGAGTTGGTTTGGTTTGGCTGGGCGGCCACGATGCGTACTGGTAACGGTAGTTTGTTCGTTTGTTCTTGCCTCGATCGAAATCGATTGACCATGCTGTATTGCAAAATCACCTTCAGGGCGTGATCTTTTTCCCCTGTACGAGTACAATGCCAATGGGGGTGCCTACGCGGTAGTCTGATGTCTTGGCAGAACCGCAAAGGTGGTGGTTCCGACGGCAAAATGAACTCGGTTTGGATCCATCCTACCTTAAATGGTAGGTTGGGAGTCGAGTGAGGCCTTGTGCAACTACGGAGTGCGGAATAACATCTGTCAGAAGCGGGCTTGAGGAACCAATACGATAGCGCGATGTTGGGGGTGATCTCTGAGTGTGATCTTGGAGCAACGAGTTTAGCGATGGATCCTAGGACGCCGGGGCGTTTTCAGAAAAGATTATTGGAATACTTCTATATTGATCATCACACTCCCGCACGGATTATTCTTCACTTCTGGTGGTTTGAGTGTTATCTGAAGCGTCCCCAAGATCGGCCCGACCTGAGGTGGTCCGCTCCCTATCGCCTGGTAACTGATGCCTCGACCCTGCCTGGTGCTACCATAGATCCCCAAGAGATGCAAGTATAACTTGTTTCCCAAACCGGGGGCCCCGCGAATGCCCTCTAAGGTTCTACTAGGGAATCGAGAGTGTAGCTGCAGTGGTGAGCAGCATGACAGCAATTGTATATAAAATTACCCACGCTCTTAGTCCTCGAAGGGACAACAGAAATAGCAGGTTTAGGGTACTGTACTGCACCAGACCGGAAGCCCAACACGACCTACCGGTATGGAGGAGGGGTTGCACGTCGATCATTGACATAATAATATTATTATCATAGCCCAATCCATCCTTTTGCCGATTCGCCACAACGGTTGATCCAAACGGTTATTGGCAAAATGTCGATCACTTGGCGGGGACTTGAGGCTCCCCCGTAAACAACCCTATATGAACCCTTGACATGCCGATTGGAAGGCACTTCTGCGAAACGATTTCGGTCGATGAGCCAATAATGATTCGCCTGCTACCAAACTTGTTGGGCATGACATGAACCAACTTTGAGAATGTGGACTTGAGCATGGTATGCTTTCTGCCTCATGCTGTGTAAGATAAAGAACACTTATGGTCATGTACAGCATCTCTCGCCAAATGAGACGAATAGAATCGCTATTCGGATGTGACACTTTCATTGTATGGACCTTCAGCTCCGGGCAACATTCCTGCAGCTAGAGTTGAGGCCTGTGGAAATAATACGGCTTCTCCACGGACTCACCGTTGCATGTTTCGGCAGTGCTCCTCTTATCTTTCCCTTTGTGGGGTTCTCGCGCTTCGGGGGAGTGAAGGAGCACCCGTAATATGCTGTGAGAGAGATCCTTGACCGATCTTAATTTTCTCCCCGATGATTCCCTGAACTCTACTCGTACAAGTAACTTACCAGTAGTCTCGTCTAGATACCACGCCCAAAGGTCCCTTAGGCACTACCGTACGGCGGTGCGAGGAGTAGCAAAGTTTAACCTTGGAGCAAAAAAACTCTCACGAGGTTCTTCGATAATATCTACAGAAGACTCGGGGGTGGGGGGAGATCTAGTGTTTACCGGTGTTCAATGCTGAAGGACAGGTGAAAGCTTGGCCAAGAAGATTTACAAGTGCATTTCCAGTGATTTATTTGCAAGTAGCTCTGGCTAGCGAGCTTCTCGATTAAAATTTCCTGAATTGGAAGGAAAGGAAGCGAGCACTCGTCTGGAAATGGCCATTCAACGTCCGAGGTCTCAACTAAGGCACGAACAGTTTTGTTTCGCCTTTGCTCCCTTGGGACAGACAACAACGACAATCAGAAAAATGAAATAAGGTAAAAACATGCCTGGCCATCAGTTTTCCCTACGTACTTCTCCTACTCCCCCCTCACCCCTCACCTCCCTTCCCTGCTTTCGCCCTCACCTCTCCATTTATATAGCCTGCTCTCACCAGCTCCTGGAAATGGAGTTTTTTGATTGCACTTTCGAAAGGCCACCCTAAACCTACGCCAAACTTGACTCGGGGTTCTAGCCCGACAGTTGTTTCTCTCGCGAGTCAATACTATTAGTTTTCCCTGCCATTGTACTGGCATACCGCCTCGCCCATTTGTTTGTTACTATGCCGTCCACTACAGAGACCCCGCGCATCTTTGGGAGGAAACATCGACCTCAGAAGTCCATGCCGAACGCTGAGACGATTACCAGAGAGGACACCACGAAACGGAGACTGAGCACCCTGGCAAGGTCGTTTTCTACCAGGAAGGCTCCACCCCCTTCTAGTACCGATCCAATGAACACTTCAACAAACACACCTAGCGCAACGGCAGCAACGAAACCGATACAAGTCGGGATAGAGGGGGAGAGCTTTGGAAATTGGCCTAATTCCGAGGGGGTATGTATCTTCCGACTGCCCCATTTGTTAATTAGTCTCGCGGGTTATGGCTTACATACATGGGTGCGTTAAAGTTTGATGTTTTCCACGACGAAAGAACCCCCATCGAGCTTAGAGTGACCGGGTCAATCCCGGAGTATGCTCTGTATGAATATCTCCCGTGAGTCAAAAGGTGGCGGTTAACAAGTAAGCTGATAATGGAATATTTACAATAGCGGTGTTCTCTATCGTACCGGTCCAGGGGGCTACCAGACAGAAACCACTTCTGGCACGACACTCAGTATGTCCCACTGGTTTGACGCCTTTGCACAAGTCCACCGCTTCAACCTAGTCTCTCCCACGAAAGTCCTCTACAATTCTCGCCACACCTGTGACGGCCTACTACTACATATGCGAGAAACGGGCCAGCTACTATCAGGCTTCTCCTTTGGCCAACGTCGGGACCCATGCCAAAGCTTCTTCAAGAAGTTTGTATCCCTCTTCGAACCACGAGTGGATCTTGTAGCCGGCGGGGCAAAAAATGCATCAAAGGTCAATGTCTCAGTGACCATATCAACAAACTACCCCGGCCTCCCAGACGCTCCTAATGCTACCGGGGCTGTCAGAAATTTGTATACCAAGACGGATGCAACCATTCTTCAGGCCCTGGACCCAGAGACTCTCGAGCCCATAGGCATCGCGAATCAGGTCTCTCTCCACCCGGAGCTCAAGGGACCCTGCTCTGCCGCCCACGCACGGAGTGATCCACTGACTGGGGACATGTTCAACTATAACTTGACCTTAGGCAAGCACCCACAATACAAGATCTTCCAAGTCTCCAAGGCGACAGGCAAAACCACGATCCTAGCAACCATCACGGACGCTCCAGGAGCATACATCCACTCTTTCTTCCTAACACCTCGTTACGTGGTTCTTTGCGTCTGGGGGGCGTACTACGCCATGGGCGGGCTCAAAATGCTCTACTACAAGAACGTTATAGACGCAATCGACGTCTGGGACCCGAATAAGCAGACAAGGTGGTACGTCATTGACAGAACTAATGCCAGGAGAGGCGTTGTCTCCTCGCACCCGTGTCCACCGTTCTTCGCCTTCCACTCCGTCAATGCGTGGGAAGAGGGTGACGCTGTGATCGCAGAGGTGCCGGCATATGACAACCTGGACATTATCAAGAAGTTTTATCTCGAGAATTTAAAGGGTAATTCGAAGGCTGCATGGACATGGGCGGAGAAGGGTAGGGCGAAATTGACCCGTTGGAGGATGGATACTACAGTTGACGGCAGTGAGGCAGTGGTGGTCTTCGAACTGGACAAGGACTCGAGCATGGAGTTGCCTACTATGAACCCGGACTTTGTCACTTTGCCGCACAGGTTCACTTATGGATTGCTCAACCGTGTAAAGTCCACCCTGTTGGATGGTATCGTCAAGTTTGATTCTATTACTCGGACTTCACTGGTTTGGGAAGAGCATGGGCATACCCCTGGCGAATGTATATTTGTTCCGGACCCGCAGGGCACGGAGGAGGATGATGGGGTCTTGCTAAGCGTTGTGCTGGATGGGTTTGCGAAGAAGAGTTACCTTCTGGTATTGCGGGCACAGGACCTAGTAGAGGTTGCTAGGGCAGAGTTGGATACTGCAGTTAGTTTCGGGTTTCATGGGAAACACGTGAATAATGGTGGACGTTCTGTCGAGTGGTAGCTGAGGAACCCCCCCTTAATTTTTTTCTTTTACCTTCATGAATTCAGGTATATAGTAGGGAGGGAGGGTCTTTTTTTTCTTTTTTTCTAAAAAAAAAGCTCGTGCGGAGTTATTTTTTGTTCACAGATGGATGCATTATCATATACCACGGGCGAATCGCCGTAACCGCTCTTCCCTTTTTGGGATGTTCTTGTTTCTTCCTCCTGCCTGTTTCTTCTCTAGTCTAATGTGGTTTCTTTTATCACCATAACCAGCTACCGGTACCGGTACGTAGAAAGGAGGGGTTAATGACCTCCAAAACAGAAATAAATGATATCATAAAAGAAAAGACAGACTTCTACAAATCACTGAGATAAAAATGATTTATTATAAAACAAAAGATTAAGAACCAAATCACAAAATATCACTCCACAAAATCCCCACTCCGTCCCCCACTCTTTCTAACAACCCTCACTCCCTCGATCACCATCCTCTTATCCACCGCCTTGCACATATCAAACACCGTCAATGCTGCGACACTGACTCCCGTAAGCGCCTCCATCTCGACCCCTGTTTTTCCTTCGCACCTGACCGTGACGCATATATCCACATATCCATTACCCTCCCTTTCCTCTGTTTCCCCACCGCCGCCATGACCACCTAACTCAACCCTAACATCCACCCCATCAATCAATATAGGGTGACATAAAGGAATCACATCCGGTGTCTTTTTAACGGCCATGATACCCGCTACCCGCGCCACGCTGAGAACATCGCCTTTCTTGTTGAGGCCTTTCAAGATGAGGTCGCGGGCCGTAGGGTTTGAGAAAACAACGCGGCCGCGGGCGGTGGAGGCGCGGCGCGTGGGGGGTTTGGCCGATATGCTGACCATGTGGGCTTCGCCGGTGGGGGCTATGTGTGTTAATGTTTGCGGGGATGATGAGGAGGAAGGGGGTTGATGGGCTGAGAAGGGGGATGGGAGTAGGGGTGGGACTGGTGTTGGTGGAGAGTTTGGGTTGTCGTTTTTTGTTGGTGGTGAGGGTGGTGATGGTTGTTCTGTGGAGCTGGCGGAGTATGCACGGATTGGTTGGGTATGAGTGAGAGATTGTGATGGTGTGATGAAAGGGAATATAACGCCAGGGATATGTGCCTTTGAAACGCCTGATGACGAAAGGAATTTCCTATTCATTGATTTCTGGCTTCTGCTGCTATCTGTGGGTATCGAGTCAGTGTATTTCTACCTATCTCTTTTTCTCGCGGGAGAGGAAACCGAGGGGAAATAAAAAGGCCAAAACCTACCCACCGATTAATATCATCGGTCGATTCTTCATATTCTCCAGCTCACCCATGCCAGCATGCTTCTCCTTCTTGTTCCCAACGGCCTTGCCGATTACTTGTAGTAGTTCGCTCTCCATCTCTTCCCTCCCACCTGCTACTCCGACACCTCCGGCTTCTAGTTCCCTATTGCGGTATTTCCGCATCATGTCCCGAAGACTGACCTCCGCCTCGCCGAATAGACACACCTTCAAGTTGCCGTCACCGGTTATGCGCAGTCGGTTGCAGCTCCCGCAAAAGTTGTGTGTCATGCTGGTGATGAAACCGACCCTTCCACTGAAACCTGGGACACCCCAGGTTTTCGATGTGTCATTTGGCCTCTGGGAGGGGAGCTTCTGGAGGGTTGGGTAGATCTCCTTGATCCTGCTCACCATATCGTTGTATGAGACCATTTTGTTTTTGCTCCATTTGTTGCCCTGGAGGAAGAGGGGGTTAGTTAAAATTCGCTGCGAAGGGGTGTGGGGGGGTCGACTCACATCAAAAGGCATGTACTCGATGAACCGGACTTCAATGGGTTTGTCCCGGGTCATTCCTACAAAGTCCACAATCTCATGGTCATTCACACCCTTCATTACGACAGAGTTGATCTTTAACACTTTTCCACTGCCCTCTTCGCCGAAGCCCATGTCCAGTGCTGTATCGATTGTTTTCAGGACGGTTTCCAATCCTGGCGCAACGTCACATCAACTTCCTTCTCATTGAATTATTCGCAGAAGTGAATATACCTTTCCGTCTCGTCATAATCTGAAACTGAAAGGGGTCAAGCGTATCCAAACTCAAGTTCAGCCCCGTAAGTCCCGCATCAATCATCCTCTGCAACTTCCTGTGCAAGGCAATCCCATTACTAGTGATGGCAAGCTCCTTCAACCCAATGCTCCGTAGCTTCCCCAGCTCCTCGACCAGCTCAACAACATCCTTCCGCACGGTCGGCTCACCGCCAGTCAATCGAATCTTCGTAACCCCCTGGCTCACAAACAGCCTTGCGATTTCCAAAATCTCCGGAGTGGAGAGTAAATGTGCGGGCGGCGAGAGCGGGACTCCCTCAGCGGGCATGCAATATACACCTATTTTGCACACATATAAGCACCCCACAAACAAGCAAGCCGACAAAGTTTTCGCAAAGAATGGTGGGATCATACATCGAAGATTACATCTCTCCGTAACAGAAATCCTCAAATACGTATGCTTTCGTCCGAACCCGTCCGTCAGAAACTCCGAGAAGGGCTTCGCGTTCTTGATCCTCTCCAGCCTGTTAATCCCATTCTCCCGCAGCCTGGATGGTAACGCCCCCGGAACCGATCCCGCCGGCGACTCTGCAATTCCAATTTCGGGGTCTTCCCGAACCCGTATCACGCCGCTAGCGTGGGGTTTTAGCCTCGCCGTCGCGCCGCCTGTGAATCCCCTTGTAGCCCCTCCAGTGACCGCAAGAGCACGTCGTTGTAGGATCCGAGCGGCAGAGAACATTATCAATAATTGCGTCAAGAGAAGCAAAAAGGGGAAAGGAAATGGTGCGGGTTGATAAAAAAGAGGAGGAAGAGGGGGGAGAAGCGCGAAAGTTTATGTAAAAGGTGGGATATCGTAGACATAAAGATAACAAGGCAAAACCCCACGCTCAAGCTTTGTCATCTAGAGCTTCCTAAACGAAACTCTAAGTTGGCCAAGCCAGAGACACTATCCTCTTAGGGATATAGATAGAAGAATTCCCACCGGGGTTTCTGGGATGGCACAGGCACATTTTTGCTTATGATATTGTACCCTAGAACAGGGAAGCGACTGGACCATGCTGAACTTAAAAATTCCCTTCAACCCTAAGGTGAACTCTACTCTAAGTATGATACACATCCTAGCATCCAAGTGCTCGAGTACGGTAGGGGATACCCAATCGTAAATAGCACAAAAGTAGCACCACCTGTACTAGTACAGTACAGTATCTGCCGCCGGATATCCGCCTTCCCGGCACGAAAGTCACCAGCAACAGTATTTCTCCGCAGGATGTGATATGGTGCCTGTGAATAGCCCACTTGCTAACCTCCTTTTTTTCTTCTTCGCCCTTCCCGCGTTACGCCTCACCACGGACGCTCTCCGCACAGGGTATATCGCAGAGTTGATGAGGGGGGTTAAGTATAAGTGCGGGGCGGGGCGGGGCAGGAGATGTTGGCCCAGTTGATCGCCTGGGCACCGGTATGGGTGCATGATATGTGCGTATCCGTGTAAGAGGTACAATACAGTACCATACTGTGCTGTGCATACCGTGGGTCGTGCCCTGGAATTGTATAGTATCGATAAGGTTGATCCGGCATGTTTACCCGGTTCGATTTCTATATTTGCTAGATGTGAGGGAAGGGGTAATCTAAATGCTGACTTATGGGGAAATCAGAGGCCTAGACATAAATTGGATTTACGGTATTTACACAGGAGAATACACGGTCCAGTCGTTTGGAAGGAGAGCTCTATGATATACTAATATGCAATCACTTCTACTGTACATATCATATCATAGATTGATAGCCCATCTGTATAGACAAAGATTTCTGTCGACGCGTCAACTTTTCCCCGCCTACGCCCTGCCGAATTCCGGAACAAACGCTCTAACCCCGTCCTTCATCAACTCCCGGAGCGCCATAGTAGCATAGGTACTTGTACCAAGTTGGAACCTTAAGATCACCGCCGTCTTCTCCTCCCCCTCCTGCTCCGCAGTAGCCACGGTGCGCCCTCCGGGTTGAACATCGAGTTCCATGTTGACCCCATCACCCTTCGCAGCCCCGTTGGCAATGGCCTCCTTTTCCTTGATGACATCAAGATCAGTCTTGACGATCTGCTCGTCGCCATGGTACTTTCTGATCTCGTAGTTGGCTTCGCCGTTGATAAACGTGCCAATAACGTGACGATAGGATCCCGGAAGACTTGTTTCCTTGTGACTGCGCTTCATGTTTAGAGGGTCCAAGGTGTGTTCTTTCATGACTCGAGTGTAGACCTCCATGAGAGCGTTTTGTGGATAGACTATGTCCCAACCCGGGGTTGGGAGGACGATGTCTTTGATTGAGTATTTCCCCGACTCGGCTTCTTCTTTAGAGAGTGCTCTAGCTCGCTTGAACTTTTCTTCTTCCCCCGGGTTGGTGTTAGTTACTCCCGTGTGGTCCGGAGGAGCATGGATGATGACTTCGCCGTCCTGGTCTATCTCCGAGGCATCATTAGTGGCAACCGGTTTAGGTGCTTTGCTCTTGGCGGCAGTAGTGGACTCCGCCATCACCAGATCGCCGGGTAGGACCTTAGCACCCCAAGAAATCCTCTCGGTAACGACATAGTTCCAGACAAAGCTCTGAAAAGCATGAAGATAGATTGTTCTCATGTTCCTAGGGACAGCCTGTAGCGCTGCCATATAATCTAGCCTCCCGCCATGCTCGTTAGCCTCTATACCCCGATCTCTGAAGGATGTGAGGATCGCTCTCTCAGCATTTGACCGGCGGGGGATAAGTTCCACGGCCTTCTGGAAATCGTAGGTGGTAAGGAAAGCGTGGCAAGCCTGTGCGCGGGATTTCTCCTCTCTGGAGACAGATCCATCATCTTTTTCCAGAATCGCGGGATCGTAGCTCAAGATTTTCTCAATAGTACCGCGCCAGTTGCCTTTAAGCATCTCCACCCCGACCTCCCATGTTCTGACCCCGTGGCTGCCAAAGCGCTGGAGCCCAAAGTAGTTTAAGAAGCCGGTTTCCTTGACACGCTGCATCGCAGTGCCAACAACCTCCCCTAAGCCTTTACTCGTGTCCGAAGAAACACACTCTCGGAGGGTAATGACGAACTCATTTCCGCATAGATCGCCGAGTCCTAGACCTGTATCCTTGTAGCAGAAATTCCCCAGGTGGCACCCTCTAAGACCGCCCTCTCCCTGGTTTAACTGAGCCAACCGCTCCGCACGAATCTTGTATGCAGAGAACCACGATACGGTAACAGCCCTCTTATCTTTGTTCCCAGCAAACGAGAACGGATTCCTCCCCCCAGCACCACCAACTAAGTGAGGTAGAACCCCCATAACATCCATGGTATCCCTATTTACCTTGTAGACCAAGAAATGACAATAATCCAGCCCTGCTTCTCCGTTCCTTTTACCAGAGTTATTCCTCCTCCGTCCTACGCGATTGCCCCGCTTCCTCTGACGCGTACCAGGCTGCCCGGTGCTCGCATAAATTCTGATACACCCTTCTTGGTCGCCGCTCAAGGTAACCGAGTCTATTTTTCCCGAGGAGAATTCTCGAATTGCAATGTGGACAAAACCTCGTTCTTCACGGTCTATGCTCCGGGTTATATGTTCTGGGTGAGACCCCATTGCTCCGTCATTAATGCTCGCCAGTAATTTGCTGCAGAACTCGGCAGTCTCAGGACCGGTCAATCGAACGATACTTTGAAGCTTGGGGTTCTGGTGGCTTGTTAGTCTGAGTTGAACCCGGAGGGTAGCGTTCAATACTTCTGGGCCGTTATCCTTCTCTTCTGTCTTGTCCGGCTTGTCTCTCACATCCCCGACTGTTCTGGGAGCGGACGACTCAACCGCCTCCTCCTTTTGCTCCTTCTTTTCCTCCCTCCTTTTACCCTCTTTCCTCAAAAACCCCGACCCAAAATCCGTCAAGTGCGCAACCTTCTCATCGAGCCCAATCTCATTCACCAGAAAGTCCGCGTACCGCTGCTTGAACACACCCTGCCATCCAGGCAGATCTGGGTGCACATAACCGGCAATTCCGACCGCAAGTTCAAGCTCTCTCCGTGATGAGGATTTATGGCTGGGCGCGCCGAGTTTTACTCGCTTCGTGGGTGGGGGTGGTGGTGAAGCCATTTTTTGTTGCAGCAACGGTGGGTGGGGATGTGGGTGTTGTCAACGAAGCGTTTGTGAAGCCTGGCTCTTGGGCTGCACGAAAAAACATGAGGCGGTCCGTGCGCAATACATTTCCCTTAATTCGATTGATTTTTGGTGATTGCTGGATGCCAAGTCACAATGGGTGTTAAGTAAAAGGTGACAGTAAAATATCTACTCCGAAGAGCGCTCCATAAAAAAAATTGGGGTAGGGGGAGGAGGGTGATTGTACTGTACTAGCACTGTACTGCACATTGTAAATATATCCTCATAATGCAGGTTTTGCCTTTTTATGATACCAGCATGTTGGTAAGATAAAGTCTTGGTACGACACTTGCAGAGGCCCGGCCATATGGGGCATCTATGATTCCCTCAATACAAGGTGGCTATATCCTAAGTCGCATTGTTAGTGCAGGTTCAACATATGGTCCAAGATATCTCAGAGGGGGAGTGTGCAAACACTCCCAAAACGGAACTTTACAGAAATTGAAGCTTAACCCGATTTCAAACCTTCATAACTTCTCGATCAGGACTAACGGCCAATTGAAAAGTCCGTTGTTGTGAGGGAGTTTACCCGCTCACCCTCAATCCTTGCACCGCCCCTCTACTTGTACTCGTACAAGTAAACAACAAACTCCTACTCCGCTCACAGCCAGCAGCGAACCAGTGTGCCAACCAAATATATCCCTCTCCGGCATCTGGGTTCTCCACCTTACACACTATTCTATGATACCACCCATAGGCTCTGCATTTCTTGGAACACCAACATCCGCAAAAGTGGGCAAGAGGAGCTTCACGACATATCATGCCATCTCGAAATGCTAATAGTCTATGTATAAGGCCATCAGCACCGTGGAGCTCTGGAATGTGCGAAGGTTTAGGCAGCGTAGCCAATCACCCGGGGTTCGCCGGGATGTTGAGTATTTAGGACTGCTTCGAATATTCCCTAACAAACAATAAGTACATAAGTCACCCGTGAAGTAGAGCAAACCACCCAAGGAGAGCAAACAAAAAAACTATCTCCTGCACACCCATTTATTCCACACTCCTTCTCCCACTCATAGTCCCTCTTGTCCACCATCCCCTACGGGTAGGGACAAACTCAGCGGCGCCACCCGCAACGATCGAGTAACCGAGGAGCTTAGAGACGAATTCTTCAGGAGTAATACCGACATTGGACCTGAGTTCTCGGGTTTTTCCATACAGAAGAGTGACCGATTATCATCTCATCGAGGCGTATATGATAAGGTTGAGAAAGATGAGGGGTCCAAGGTGACGTAAACTGCTTCTCAAGTTGAACAATCAAGATAGGTATAGTGAGGATTAGACAGGGTTCGGCTCGTTGGAGTTGCCCCCTTTGGTAAGGTTTGGTGTTTTTTCGTTTTTCGTTTTTCTCATATCTCTCTAAGATGGGCTAAGCAGTACTCTTTTTTTGCTGTTTTTCGCACCTTTTCTAAAGGAGGGAATTCTCAACTACATAGCACATTGCCCGATTACTCGAGTATTTGAGATTTCACAGTATTGTGGATTATAATAGCCAAATCCTTAACTGTGTAACTGCGCAGTCGAATCTGCCACTTACTCGAGTATAAGTGTTTGTTCGCCCAGCAGTGATGACTCACTCTTTCTTGGCAGAGGGCTCCAAAGTCGAAAAGAGAGACAATGTGCTTCCCCTTCTCACTGGGCGTTTGTAATTATGATAAATACAAGCAAAGAGGCTTCATAATACCGGTACGGTACTGCACGCGTCGGTGTTACGAAGCAGTGGTCCTAGGTCCTACAAGTACAGTACATGACCAGCGATTCCCAAATCCCTCACTCTCAACACAATAAGCCCAAACAAACGGACCACGCCTTGAATACAGACAGTCCTTAGAGAACACCCGTGCCGTAACTGAGTCAGTACCAAAAATCCAATGAAGCGGAGATATATAACGTTCCTTCACGACCTATCACCTGGAAGAGTAATCACGCACTCTTACGAGTCCGTGGTCGAGAAATAAGCCTTAGCGCCTAAGTCAGCCCAAGTCAAACTCCACAATTTTTCCCGCTACCGACCTCAGTGCCGCACCCAATTCCCAATACCATTTGATGTATGATACCCGCACCTTGTGTTCCTCATTTGGCCTTCACACGTCCCGTTTCATAATTGCTTCACCCAATTCATGCGTCGCCGTATCATACTCGAGTACTCGGGCCCAATAACACACAACAGCGGCTCTCGGCTCGCCTTTCAATTGGCACCCGCTTCCACAGGGCAGACTCACCGGGTTCGAACCCTTTTTCAATGCAAGGGAGCAGAAGCCGCCCGAGGGATCAATGGAAAAACATTCATTGGTTTGAATAGGAGAGCATGAATCGGACAACGCTATGATCTGGATTGTGGTAAAATTCTACAGGTTATCTGTATTGCATAGATCCGCTATCGAATATGACCTAGGAGGGGAAAGAATAGATGTTTGCATGGGGCTGGTCCCAGATTATTCGAAGCTTGACAGGCAGCGAGCACCATACCATGATAATCATCTTAATGGATGGAATACTGGGGTTCAGCACGAGTTCCTGGGTAGGCTACGGGGGAAGAGCGATACTCTTTTCAACCAAATTTAAGACATATCGAGTGATACTATGTGAACCAAGTAATCACTTATCGGTATGACAGCTTAAACCGCGCAAGCAATCACCTTCCTCTATCCTTCACGCCCTTGTTCTCCTAAATACCGGTATCATCAGGTATTGTAAGCCTCAGAACCGAAGGGGGCCCCTGCTTTTCCCCAATTTAAACTGTCTTTCCCGAAATCTCGGATTCCCCACATGCCGCACCAGACAAGACCAGATTAGCACCAGTTAAGCAACCTGAAACAGACCCACATGGAAAGCTCTCCGGGGAATTCGGATCGGGAATTCCTTGGATCCGCCCGCGATGCTCGAGTAAGTGGAGCTTTCCCCCATAACCTTTGCCGTTTAAATGCATCGATAGCCCGTGGGTTGAGGCACTCTGCGAATGCCTCGCTTTCTGTTCGGTTACGGCATCGTATGGGTGCCGCAGTGACCAGTTGTTATTACTCGAGTACGGTACAAGTACAAGCTTGGGGGAGGTAGGAACATTGGTGTGATATTTACGACATTTCAAGCTATGACCGTGAAGGAAATCAGGAAAAGGCTTCAGTAGCAGACAAACTTCGGAAAGAGAATGGGTGGGGTTAGCTGTCATATTATTATGACCGTTGAATTGCTATAATGACCGAGGATCTCCATCCATCCCGCGACGAGGGAGTTCGATGGAAATCCTCCGAACAGGAGTTTTTTCGTTTCGTGGACAATGATTCGAGCGATTCGGGCACCAGGGATTGGGTTCTCAAGAGGGACTGCGCTAGCAATCGTCCTTCAGAAGCTTCTTCAAAAGCTTGTTTTTCACTGGCATGAAAATTGCAGGACTCCCTTCTAGCAGGTAATATCCTTGTATCAGGCGTCTCAATGGCCACAGGCCATACCGGTACTGATATCTTTTCTATCCCTCCCAAGAGTGCTTTCTCCATCCATCCACAGGCAGAGTACGAGTACACTCGCACGTACCGGCACTGCGTGCTGTACGGTACTCGAGCACTGGTACAGTACTGAAAAGTGCATCGATTTGTTTGGTTCGTGAAAACCTTCTAGACGCATGGCAGAATCAACCCACAGGGGGGATTGCGGGGGTCTCACTTCAGCTGAACAAGGTTCTCTTTCTTTCCCAACCTTTACCTTGCGTGGGTGGCTTAAAAAGGGAAGTCTGGCAAATCGTTTCCTCATTAGTCCATACGATCTACTTTTAGAAACGCTAAGCCCGAAATATCCGCAGTGCAGCAGGCATTCTGAGCAAAAGAAGAACGAGAGTAGGGTTTAGGGTAAAGACTGGCGATGAAGCGTGACGCAAGCCTCGTGTCGGATAAACGGAACGCACCGCAATTTGTCTCGAGCAGGAATTTGATATTGCTGCCTTGCAGGGAAGTTGTGGTGGGGGGAAGTTCGAAGGTTTGGAGAGAAAAGCAGGATGAGCCGGGACATTATTGCGGAAGTGATGATGATGCGAACATTTGAAGCCGGGAACCAAGGGACCTTTTGTTTTCTTGTTCAACGGTACCGACCATTAGACTATGTCAGTATGGCGACAATCGTGCACGGCGTACTCGAGTACCGGTATTTTATACTTGCAAATGCGTACGATATCATAGAACCTTAACCCCCTTGTTTGAAAACTACTCAAGTATGGTGTACTAGTAGTGCGCAAATGTTATTTGGCCACCGCTGGTTAACAGTTCAGAACTTTCTTATTCATGCTTGTGATATGCAAAATGCACCTTGGTCTGACAGGCCAGTTGTTCTTAACCAACTAGACCATTGAGCTATTGTGGATGTAGCTTAAAATGATGAGAGTATGACCTAGCTAGAAATGTGAAATTGTATCACTCCTGATGTCTCTATCTATACAATTGACTGTATTTTAGACAAAGCAAGTATTAAAAAATGGAATACTTAGATAGATCTTTATTTAATAGATATCCATACTAAGAGATGCTTAGCCTGGGTAATTGTATACAAGGACTTGACTGGAGAAGATTTTGAAGGAATTCTCTACAGTTATAAGTGCACAGTTAGGAAATCTGATAACTTAAAACAAGTGTAAGTTTTCCACATTCATCAGAAGAAATAGCTTGCAGAATAATTCAAGACTCAGGAAAAAACCAATGAGATTAATTTAATATTATGAGGCTGATTTTGGGACTGTAAGCAGGGAGACTTCCTGTTTCTATTTTGGATATTACAGTAAACTGTTAGGTTCATATTTTACTACTTGAAAAACACCTTCCTCTACTCATATGATAAATTGCTAATGAGATTGGCAACTTCCCATTTCAATAAGACAATTCACTAGTTCATAAAGTATAGAATATAGTGGAATAGCTATAGGATAACAGAATTGTACTAGAGAATTATCCTTT